GCATTCAATGAAGTCACTGCCAACAGCCCTTCAAAAACAACCTGCACCAACACTCTGATGGGGCACTCCAGAGCAGAGCAGGAGGGAACTATGCTTCACGAGAGCGTAAATTACAGATGGCTTAAGGAACATAGGCAGGAGCAGGGCAGTGAAAGACTCGCATCCCTTCCAAGAGCTGGCAGTGAATATCAAGAGCTGTACAAACCTGACTTTTCATCCCCAGAAACATGCTTATTGAGCAAAATACATTTAAAACCATTGCAAGTAAAGAGCAATAGTTGTGGGCTTCTCACGGAGAACTGAAAGCAGACTTTTCATTTGTCTTTACTACATTCAATTAAAATTGGCACCAGAATTGATTACCCTTTCCACACTAGGTGTTGATGTTTTATAGCACAATACAAAACCTAAAGCCCCTCATTCTTTAGCACACTCAAAATTGTTCTTAATGCCTTTTTTGTCAAGGTCAGCAAGCGTTCAGTACATTCACACAGTACTGCCACACAGCAGTGCTGTGATGCTCCTCACCAGGACTGGTCCTCTTTGCACACTGATCAGCACTGCACTGGTTTCTGCTCTCCCTCAGCCGGGCCACCCTGCAACACAGACCACAGCTATATCACCCCACAGCTCCACCCAGGGCCCAAGACCCTGTACCCCACCCCCAGCAGGACCCCTGACCCAGTACCTGAGGGAGCTCTTTGATCATGGTGACGCCCTCGCACGTCTCCACCTCGATGTCGCTCTCCGTGTCGTTGTGCGTGCGGTTCTCCTCACTGTCCGTCTCCCCTTGGCTGCTCGGCTGGAGGACAGGAGGACATTCTCTAAGTGCGGGGTGACCCAACGCGAGCCAGGCCCAGAAGGTCACAAACGGCAGGTCCAAACTCGTGGTAACAGCTTTGGCACACCCCCTGCCCATCACTGGACAGGCCAAGCTTTCACTACCAAGCTTCACTCCTCACACTCAGGGCCTTAAGTTCCTGTGCCGCCACCACAATCCCCCCTCAGCCCCTCACCTCGTAGTCGGGGTCAGCCTGGCTGTCGTCCTCCCCCAGCTCCTGGGTCAGCGCCTCCACCCAGGACTGCTGCTCCTCCTCCTCCACGTCTTCCTGCTTCCGCTTGCAGCCCTTGCCGCACGGCTTGGTGGGAGAGCTGCGCACCTCTGCAACGGGAGAGGAGGAGGTCAGGGACTTATTTCACCAAACACATAAAACAAGGATTCACTCCAACTACAGCAGCTCTACGACCCTGCAGCTCCCAGCTGGCAGCCCACTGGAGCCCAGCAGCTGTGAGCCTGGTCAGTACCTGGAGGGGAGACTCCTGGGAAAGCTAAGGCTGCTACTGGAAGAGGCGTTAGTGGGACCAGTAGGGGGCGCTAACCCTGCAGTCTGAGTGGGTCCTAATGCCCCAGTATAGTGACGCGGACACAGGCGCCGTCCTTCAGATGAGACATAAAACCGAGGTCCTGACTCTGTGGTCATTAAAAATCCCAGGGCATTTCTCAAAAAGAGTACTGGTGTTACCCCGGTGTCTCAATAATCCCCCTCTCTGAACTGGCTTCATCACTCTGCTCTCCTCCCCACTGAGAGCTGGTGTGTTCGGAGCAGACTGGTGCATCATCCAGGTGGGGCTGCACACTGGTGGTGGTGGAGGGGATCCCCATGACCTGTAAAGCGCTTTGAGTGGAGTGTCCAGAAAAGCGCAATATAAATGTGAGGAATTATTATTATGAATTATTATTATGTGATAGGAGTCCTGTTTCAGCCCTGTTTCTTTGCGATTTTCTGCCTCGGAGAAAGGTCACCCTAATAGCTGTTCCCCATGACCTGTAAATCGCTTTAAGTGGAGTGTAATAATTGACAGGGGTTTACTCCTTCAGTAACAGTTCTGCCGTGCGACAAGTGAACCCAGACCATGCAGGTAACCGCCCCCCTCCTCCCCAGCAGTCCCCACGGCGCGATCGCGAGCCCCGCCCTTGCCTTCCGAGACGGAGCAGCCGATGCTGGTGCAGACGGGGTAGCCCAGCGCGCTCTGCAGCCTGAGGGGCGTGAAGGCCAGCAGCAGGCGGGTGATGCGCCGCAGCCGCTTCCTCCCGCTGCGGCAGAAGCGCCCCGGCGACGGGGAGCTCGTCTCCGCGGCGACCCCGCCCCCCGCGGGCCTGGAGAGCCAGGACAGGCTGCGCAGCGCCCGGACCTGCGGCAGACAGCAGCGTGGCGCCCTGAGACCCTGAGGTGAACTGGGACCTGCAGGGCACCCAGAGCCCGGGCCTAGAGGACTGGCCCAGTGGGCTTCCCCTGATAGCACCGGAACCATGAAGAATGTCATACAAGTCCAATTAACCCACAAACAGACCAGAAAACCTTTTTTCCAGATCTTATTCTAGATAAATAACCCTTTTTCCAGATTTTATTCTAGATCTCCTTAAAAGATCATCAGAATTTCACCCACAAAAACCAGAATCAAGGACCCCAGACGTCCTTAATGAAGCAGATTC